CATACGGGTTATTACGTCCGGCATGGTCAGTAAATTCGTGGTTGTGGAGAGCATGTCATGACGCTAGGTGAACTCTTGAGATGACTACAGAATCGGAGCACAAAGGCAAAATGAAATTACTACCTTTTAGTTAAGAGGGACATTTATGACCGTCAAGATAGCACACGGAAATATAGACCGCTCAAAAGCATGTCACTGTGTGCCCGATTCCGGGGAAATTTTCAGTAGGATTAAGATAAGGGTTAGGATTGAGGTTAAAGTCTGATTTGGAGGTTAGGCTTCGGATTATGTTGAGCATTAATGTTTGGATTCGTGTTAACTGTAGGCTTTAGCGAAGAGTTAGAGCTAATACCTTCTTTAGGACAACATAGTAAACCTATTCAGCAACATTTCGAGAGTAGTTCCTCAGCTCGCCTTCAAACTAGTGAGACTGTGCAACGAACAATTTAAATTTAAAATATGCAGAAAAATCAATAGTCATCTGGAGTGAGCACTCATTTGCAGTTGTGATTTATGTCAGTCTGTATTGTTCGATGCTCGTCTCTTCCGTTCCTTCTTTGAAGTGTCTGTACATTCCATCTAAATCTGTATGTCGGCCGATGTCGCCAAAAGTCTGCTAAGTCGAGCGAAGACGCAGTGTCCTGAAGATGAAACCTACTGAGTCGAGCTAGATTATCTGTCTTATTTGTTTTATTTACCCCAGAGATTTGGTATACAAATGCATGAAACAACAACGATAACCTAGAGAAATGGAACTATACAGTTCCACTCAGGTGCCACAGACGAATACATGGCGAATCCTTCCTTATATATAGAGTGTGTCTGAACTCGTTGAAAGGCACTTGAGAAAATAAATAAAAGTGGCGCACATACCAACGACAATTTTACGTGCCCAACTTGTACACACGAAGGATGCGGTTGGCAATCTCGATAAGAAAGCAGTTGTATATAGAATCCCATGCGAATCTTTGGATACCGTATAGTGTAACCAAAGAAGAAGGTCCGTCTCCACACGCATTCACGAGCACCAACAGGCAGTGAAGAGATATGGCCATTTATTTGAAGTGATTATGCGTCGTCTTGATACAGGACACAGTTTCACATGGGACAAAATACGCATCGTTGGAGTTTGCCTCGCCAAGAAAGGTCGAGAATTGCTTCAAGCCATGCACTCCCATGGTTCATGCATCAACAGACATATAGAGTTGGATGGATTGTATAAA